CACCAGGAAAATAAAGGGTGTTTCTCCTCTTCCATAGTCAAACCTGATCCACCCCAAAACCTGCAGATGAAGCCATTGAAGAATTCCCGGCATGTGGAGGTCAGCTGGGAGTACCCTGATACCTGGAGTACCCCACACTCATACTTCTCCCTGACATTCTGTGTTCAGGTGCAGAACAAGAACAAGAAAGAAAAGGTAAGGTACGGTCTGGGTTCAGCATGTCCTGTGAGCAAGTCTCTGAAAGTCCACACCAGGAAGATGATGAAGAATGACAGTAACAGCACCTTTGTTTTAGCACTTGCTATGTTCCTGGAATTATGCTAGTGGTTTTCCAACACTTAACCCATGTAATTAATCCTAGGGGAAAAGATAGTATTGTCATCATATCTTCACAAGTAAAGCCACTGAAGTTCAGAGAGGCGAAGTGATTTGCCTAAGGTCCAACTCAGCCTGCCAGATATAAAGCCCATGTACCCAAACACCCACTGCTCTGGCATGGTTGACCATTAATCCTTGCACTCAGAACTGGTCCTGATACAGGAGACCTGGGCTCCGGGAGCCTAAAATCATTGTTTTTAACTAAGTAAACACAATGACAGACAGAACATTCATGATAAACCTCCTGCAAAATGGGTAACTCCCAACTGTTCCAGATATTGTGAAATTCTTTTAAGAGGATGTCTGCACTTCTGTAAGTTAACATGATGGCTTTCCAACTTTCCCACCTGAGCATCAGAATCCCTTTCCTCCTGCAAGTGTCCAGAGCACTTTTATGGAGGTCCAGCCGCATTGAACCTCACTTCTTTTTAAAATTTATTTATTTATTTGAAAGTCAGAATTACACAGGAAGAAAAGGGGAGGCAGAGAGAGAGAGAGAGTTCTTCCATCTTCCATCTGCTGGATCACTCCCCAGTTGGCCGAAATGGCCAGACCTGTACCAATCCGAAGCCAGGAGCCAGGAGCTTCCTCTGGGACTTCCCACGCAGGTGCAAGGGCCCAAGAACTTGGGCCATCTTCCACTGTTTTCCCAGCCATAGCAGAGAGCTGCATCGGAAGTAGAGCAGCCAGGACTCAAACTGGTGCCCACATGGGATGCTGGCACTGCAAGTAGCAGCTTTACCTGCTAAGCCACAGCAGCAGCCTCAAACCCCACTTTTAAAATCACTGGACATGACTCAAAACTCAGTGACTCAGTCCCTCACTGAAAAGAATTTAGGGGATGGGGGAGGTATTCTGGGATAAATTTTATTTTAATATTATTTAAAGTCTTGGTAAATATCTTCCCTATTTAAGATACATATCATTAGTTGGTAATACTGTGTGTTTTCTAATGTGTTACACTTGCTAAGAGTTTTATATGATCATCGCCTTTGACTTAAACATATCAATGAGATAGTTATTATTCCTATTTACAAATGAAAAAAACAGATCCAGAGAGCCTAAGCTATTTCCCTAAGGTTACATAGCTATTTAGTACCAGTACCAGGATTTGAAGGCCAAGTTATTTGATGAAAGGTCAGGGTATAGTATTTCTGGATGTCCAGGTGACAGCCATGACTAATCTGCGTCAGTCGCTCCATCAGCTTAGTCCTGGGGCTCTACGGCAAGGGCTACAAGGATGAAAAGTGGACCAAACGATTGTTTCTTTGGGGCTTATGAAGTAGACAAGCAAATCTGTGCTTAGAGCTTCTTCCAGTAGGTGGTGCCAGTTCTTTGCATGCCTCTTGGGAATTGCAAACAGAGTGTCTTAAGGCTGAGATGTGCTTTTTAGGGGAGGTTGTACTTTGCAGAAATATGCTCAGCCTGTCTTGTCACTGCATTGCCAATGGGTCTTCACAGAATTCCCTTCTCCTTGCAGAAAGATAGACTCTGTGTGGACAAGACTTCGGCCACAGTCATGTGCCACAAGGATGCCAAGATTCGTGTGCAAGCCCGGGACCGCTACTATAGCTCATCTTGGAGCGAATGGGCATTTGTGTCCTGCAATTAGGTGAGCAGAGTATCCCCAGGTGCTGTGCCTGGGAACAAGGCTTTGGGGTGGGAGGCACTGTGCAGGAGAGGAAAGGGGAGAAGGGGGTACCTGGCACATGGAACCCAGAGTCACAAGCTAACATTTACTTGTTAATGGATATTTGATGTTTATGTTATATCAGGCATTGTGCTGGGCAGGGGACTATTTTTTTTTATATTTAATTGATTTATTTGAAAGACAGAGTTACAGAGAGGCAGAGAGAGGGAGAGAGGTCTTCCATCCAGTGGTTCACTCCCCAGGTGGCTGCAATGACTGGAGCTGGAGCTGGGTCAATCTGAAGCCAGGAGCCAGGAGCTTCTTCCGGGTCTCCCACATGTGTTAGGGGCCCAGGGACTTGGGCCATCTTCCTCTGCTTTCCCAAGCCACAGCATTGAGCCGAACTGGAAGTGGAGCAGCCGGGGACTCGAACTGGCGCCCACATGGGATGCCGACACTGCAGGCGGAGGCCTCACCCAATACGCCTCAGCGCCGGCCCCAAGGGGACAATTGCAGTAAAGAAAACAGGCATGGGCCTGCCCTCCTAGAAGAAAAGGCAAAGAAAGGAGAGAAAGGTAGCAGGAGTTAGAGCAAGGAGGACTTGCCTGCTTCCCAGAGTCAGAACTTGTTCTGAGAGCACTGGGACATCCTTGGGTAATAATGAAACCAGATATTCTTTTTAGTATATGTGCTGCCGAAGGGAGCACAAAACCAGATATTCTTTTAAGAACTCTCAAGAGAGCCTCTGAGGGCTGGTGCTGTGGCGTAGCAGGTAAAGCCACCGCCTGCAGTGCCGGCATCCCACATGGGTGCCAGTTCAAGTCCTGGCTGCTCCACTTCCGATCCAGCTCTCTGCTACGGCCTGGGAAAGCAGAAGATGGCCCAAGTCCTTGGGCCCCTGTACCCACATGGGGACCCAGAAGAAGCTCCTGGATCCTAGCTTCAGATCAGCATATCTCCAGCCATTGTGGCCAATTGGGGAGTGAACCAACAGATGGAAGACCTTTTTTTTTTCTCTCTCTCTCTGCCTCTCCTTCCCTCTCTGTGTAATTCTGACTTTTAAATAAATAAATCTTTTTTAAAAAGAGAGAGAGAGAGAGAGCCTCTGGCAAGCATGGTACCAACCATATTCTAGGCCACATGAGGAAGAGCTGGCCCTTCCCATACAGAATTCTAATAAGCTTTTGATGCTACATTTCTAATCCTTATGTACTTTTGGCCTTCTTTTTCAGATTCCAATGCCAGAATGTAGCTTTGGAGGAGAAGTGGAAGATGTTATTAGACAAAATTTTAAAGACATGATGGAATAGACTAAAAAACTATTTTCCACTTATTTTGTTTTTCTAAAAAAATTTTTGGATCATAGTGATATATTTGCTATATTTTTATATTTAGATGCTAAATGTCCACTGAAACAATCACCTAATTTATTCATAGATTTTCTAGTTTTCAAATTGCCACTAACCTTAATGCTATTTAAATATTTAAATAATTTATGTATTTATTAATTTGTTACTATTATTTAAGGTGTGTGTGCCAGGATGTTTTGAATGTTTCAGTCTCATGACCTGATCCATAAGGATCAGGCTCTATTTTGTAAAATGTGAACTTCAGTGTTATTTATACCGATGACTTTTCAAGCAAGCCTGAAAGTACATTGGTTTTATGACAATTAGTAAGAACATGATGTTCTGATGCCAGGACACTGTATATCTGTGATGGATGAGAACACAAGAGATTTAAATGGTGAATGAAGCCTCAGATCTGCTGAAGGGAACATGGATAAGATGATGCTATTTCCCATATCCATGAAGTCATCCTTGCAGGGGTATTGATCAAGCAAACAATTCAGGGTCACCTATGCTTCCAAGCAGTTTTGGTCTTTGGATGCCTGACTTTTAAAATGAGCTTAAAAAAAAAAAAAAAAAAAAGACTGAAATTGCAATTCAGCTTCAGCATCCCTAGCGGTCCATGCCTCACCTCTCTGAGGCGCAGGAGGGTGGCAGCATGAGTGCTCAGAAGAAAAAAAGACCTTAGAGTTCAAGAGGGAGGAAAAGTGTAGTAATTGCTAAGGACACAAGATTGTCAGAATTGCAGGTGGCTTCTAAATGACCACGCAAAAAAGGCACACAGATACAGAGGAAATGATCTAGAATCTCTCCTCATCAACACGAATGAACCTGAATCCAACGTGACCAGAAAGTAATGCTCCACAAAGGTGCTATTTTTAAGTAATGAATATGCTTCCTAGAAAGTGATTATATCTGTTATCTGTGTGTTTATTTATTTATTTATTTATTTTTGTATTCCAAGACCAAACTAATAAAAAATTTTTTTGCAATCATATTTTGGCCTCTCCCAAATGACTCAAGTATTCTGTTTCCAAGACTACAAAGGGTGCATTTTCTTCCCTATCATTTAAGAATTCTCCCCTCCTTGAAGCCATTTCATTTCCAGTTTCTCAGAGTAACTCTTTGACTTTATACTGTTTACAAAGTCAATGTCTTGCTGTCTTGCTGAGCTTGGAGAATGTCCTTGCAATCTGACCAATGAGAACTGTTTGCAAGGCCACTGAACCACACTATGCTCTTGTTAAGGGTTGGGTGCTCTTGTTTCTTCCACCTTCTGTTCTGGAATCAACTCTAATGGTCTCCCCAGCATTGCAAAATAGAATTCTAGGCTGGAAAAGCCCTGGGTATTCTATCTACTAGGTCCAACCTTAGCATTTATTCAAGATTCGCCACATGTCCAGACATGTGCTAGTCCTTGGGGGTTGAGAGTTTCAATAAACCTCATACTGTCTCCCCAAACAGTGCCCACTCTAGCCCTGCTTGCAAGACAAGGATGAGGAGTTCATTTCAATACCATTAAATGCTAAATGTTTGCTATATATGGTTCCCTGGGGTAAGAACAAAAGAGAAGTATACAGACAACCTGAAGTCATCCAGGAAGACTCCACACAGAAGCAAAGGGGTCAACTTTGGCTTACAAAATGGGCAAGGCTAGCATATTCCCCTTGGATGCCCTCTGTGGAAGAACAAGTGGTGGGATCCAGAGAAAGGAGTCTGTTTCCCTGCCATCCTGAAAATCCAACTGAACACATCTGAGCTTCCCTGCCATGGCAGGGTAACTATAAAAGGTCCTGATTTCAAGAGTCCTTTTGTTGCCCTTATTCTGCTCTGCTCCTCACCTGGAAGAATGGAGGGAGGTTTCTGTCATCCTACTCTAAGTTTGAAATGTATCATCTTGCATTAGAAACCCACACCTGACAGCACATGGTTAGTTAATAACTATTTGTCCTCCTACAAGATCTTTTACCTAGAGATACCAAAGCACTTAATGCACAATGCTAATCAAGAAAAATCACATTTCATAAACGCAGAGACCTGGACCTTTCCCAAAGCTTCCGGCCAGCCTCAGGCAGAGCTCTGATGTTCTGGCTTCCACTATGCCCAGTGTTTTTCTGCCATGGTCTTTAGCATTTGACTGATTCCAGTACATATAAAGGGGAGTTTCCATTTTTTAAAGGCATTCCCCCAGAACAGTCTTTGTACTGTAAATCTACCCACCATGAAATGCATCAAGTGTCCCAGGAAAAAAAATCTCAGACCTGGAAATCACAGGCCCTGGCCCCAGGCATGACCAAACCTTTCTGGGACCATATGATTTTTTTTTTTTTTTTTTGACAGGCAGAGTGGACAGTGAGAGAGAGAGAGAGAGAGAGAGAGAAAGGTCTTCCTTTGCCATTGGTTCACCCTCCAATGGCCGCCGCGGCCGGCGCGCTGCGGCCGGCGCACCGCACTGATCCGATGGCAGGAGCCAGGAGCCAGGAGCCAGGTGCTTTTCCTGGCCTCCCATGGGTGCAGGGCCCAAGCACCTGGGCCATCCTCCACTGCACTCCCTGGCCACAGCAGAGAGCTGGCCTGGAAGAGGGGCAACCGGGACAGAATCCGGTGCCCCGACCGGGACTAGAACCCGGTGTGCCGGCGCCGCTAGGCGGAGGATTAGCCTAGTGAGCCGCGGCGCCGGCTGGGGACCATATGATCTTGAGCAAGGAGTAGACACAACTATACAACTTGAAAGTTCTTTGATAAACATGCACTCCCAGGTTTCTTCTTCCTTGATGTTCCTTTCAGCTCTGAAGGTTGGAAAGCCAAGCAGTCACTTCTCCATCTACCCTTGCTGTCTGGCAAAGCCAGGAGACCTGGTGCTAGCCAATAAAATGTGAGAAAATTCCACTTGGGGGACTACCAAGAAATTTCAGCTTCCCCGATTTAAAAAAATAATAAAAATAGAGCCATGGCTGGTATCATTCTTGCCCTCTTTTTCCGCTCTTGAGCAGACAGAACATGAGAACCTTCAGAGATACCTGGCACCCAGGGTAAAAGCCATAATGCAAGAATCTTCTACTAAGAAGGTTCGGGCCCCTATAGTGGCATTGTGGAGCACCCAAACTCTAACTTCCTACCCAAGATGCCTCATTATGTAATGTCTTAGTCTGTTTCTTATTGCTATAACAAAATGCACAAGACTGGCCCAGGTATAAAGAACATAGGTAGGCCGGCACTGTGGCTCACTTGGCTAATCCTCTGCCTGCGGTGCCGGCACCCCAGGTTCTAGTCCCGGTTGGGGTGCCAAATTCTGTCCCGGTTGCTCCTCTTCCAGTCCAGCTCTCTGCTGTGGCCCAGGAAGGCAGTGGAGGATGGCCCAAGTGCTTGGGCCCCTGCACCCGCATGGGAGACCAGGAGGAGGCACCTGGCTCCTGGCTTCAGATCGGAGCAGCACCGGCCATAGTGGCCATTTGGGGAGTAAACCAACAGAAGGAAGACTTTTCTCTCTGTCTCTCTCTCTCACTGTCTAACTCTGCCTGTTTAAAAAAGGAAGAAGGAGAAGGAGAAGGAGAAGGAGAAGAAGAAGAAGACAGATTTATTTAGGTAACAGTCTGGAGAACAGGAAGTCCAGGAGCATGGCACCAACGTCTGGTGTGAGCTTTCTTGCAGTATCACCACATGGGGGAGGGCAGCATGGGGCAAGACAGAGTAAGCTGGCTCAGGTCTCTTCCTCTTCATGTAAAGTCAACTAGTTCCCATCTCTCACAACCTGACTTAGTCCTAATTATCTCCCAAATGCCTTCCTCCAAGCACCAGAACACATGAATTTAGAGATCACGTTTCCAACCGATGAACTTTGGAGAGACAAAATTAAATACCATAGCACATGAGAAAGACTCATAATTATTTCCTTTGTTTGGTGAAATGACATAAAATTGACTATCTTTTAACCATTTTATGTGTGAGTTCAGTGGCATTAGATACGTTCACATTGTTGTGCCACCATCACCACTTGCTCTCTCCAAAACAACTGTATCTTCCCAAACCAAAATTCTGTATTCATTCAATAATAACCACTCTCATATTTGTTTTTAAAATGGAAAATAAATAAATCAAAACCTAAAGATATTCTGAACATTCAAAACCTCATTTAGAAGAGGCTTGCTCACCAAGTCAGAAAACAGGTCACAAGTGAGAGCCAAAGTTTAAGCCTCAGAAAACCCAGTTCTGTCCCTCACTGCTGATGCAGGCCTGCAGAAGCCACGGCACATTCATGTTCCAGTGAGGCCTGGTGGAGACCTAGCAATCCCCTGCCCCCAGACCTCCATGCTGTGCAGGAACAAGTGAGAACACCAACAGGCAGCACCCTCTGCAGTCTGCCAGTCCTACCATTAGGGGTCTACCCCTCATCTCCCATGTTTGAGAAGAAAGGGAAGAAATAAAAGGCCAATGCAGTCGAAGCAGCTGTGTCATTAGACTCCCAACCACCCTGTGAAGACGGGATTCTCACCCCCATTACAGATGGGGAAACTGTGGCCAGGGTCCCTCCTTCAAGGGCAGACCAAATCTCAACAGGACTCATCTGAAGGGGAAAGGGATCAGAAGATCCCTCAGCAGACACACCTCTGTTGTTCCTCCACTGGGCATTTTTATTTACAGCTCTGTCCCTGGCACCATCCTCAATTTCCTGGATACAGGGATGAACAAGACCCTGTCTTCACATGGATTCTAGTCCCAGGGCACCAAATGTATCCCATGCTAAGCACTGGAGGCCACTTCTAAAGGGTTAAATGAGATCATCAATTGAACATGATTGGCACAGTGTCACTGGCAGCTCTTTCCACTGACTAGCTCTTTGAGCCTGAACAAGTGAGTTCACCTCTTTAAGACTCTGTTTCATCAACCTCAAAATGGGATAACGACAGTGTCATCCTTACAGGGTGGTTGTGAAGACTGAATGAAATAATCTCAGAAAGTTCTGGAGGGACAGAAGGTATGACAACTTTCCTCACCCACCATAAGGGTCATCACTCACACAGATGCAACAGAAAGTCATGTTTGTCTAATCAAAGTCTTACATGAAATGGGAGACTTCAGAAATGAAAACTCAAAGACCCAGGGAAAACTATGTTTTTATGCTGCAGTTACAAGAAGAAAGGACAGCCATACAGAAACATGACTGCACCAAAAGGGTATGACATAATGTTGAAAGACAGAAGGAGAAAGTCCAGCAAGGTCATTCTGTTCAGATACTTCTTGGCCTCTCTAAGGCAGCATTCCTTCCTCCCTGCTGTGGGGCAGCACCCTCTGGAATGAGTGTCTTCAACAGAGAAGGCGGAGAGTGACTTTTCTAGGTTTGACGGTTTCCTTTAGGCTATAGGAGTTCTAGTTCTGGGGACCTGCCTTGGTGAAGAGCAATTCTGGCTTCTGTGAATTACTGGCAAGAGAAAGAGGTGAGAGGCAGGATGGCAGGGGAGGTGGGAGAGGCCATGGCTTGAAGCCTGTTTCTGAAGCCCTCCCATCTCCTTTAGTTCAAAATCCTCAGTGTGGCAAGGTGCCATACTTTGGTGAATCACTTCCTGAGTTCCATCAGTACTTGGACAAGTACCTGACCCACAGCAAATCCCCTGTTAAGGGTTCACTGTTGTCCATTTTGCTAAACAGCTTATCACCTGAAAGAAGACTAATCTGGACCTGTGCTTTGTGCAGGACTCAGGGGGATGGAGGAATGGTTATTACCAGGCCCGAACTGGGTTGGGATCAAGGGGTCCCAACTGCACCAATGAGGAAGAAAGATGTGGTCCTGTCTGCTGAGATTTAGATGCCTTTTCAGTATAGCCTCCCTTTCATAAAATTGAGCTGCAAGTTATCCCCATTTGGAAGATACCAAGATAACAATGAACTCAATCGCTGCCTGCAGGTATTATTCATTCTGGTGAGAGGGGGATACATGGTAACTATATTAAAATGTAGTCTGCCTGGGATGATGCTACGTGTATCATAAATATTTCTTTTTACAAACGTTTCCCATTCTTGGGAGGAGCCTTTTTCTCTCTCACCTTCCTGGATGTAACAGTTTGGCATTAAACTGCCAATTCCCCTTACCTATAGATCACACTTTAATAATCTCTTTGGGGCCGGTGCAGTGGCTCACCTGGTTAATCCTCCGCCTGCGGTGCCGGCATCCCATATGGGTGCCAGGTTCTAGTCCTGGTTGCTCCTCTTCCAGTCCAACTCTCTGCTGTGGCCTGGGAGGGCAGTGGAGGATGGCCCAACTGCTTGGGCCCCTGCACCCGCATGGGAGACCAGGAAGAAGCACCTGGCTCCTGGCTTTGGATTGGCGTAGCGCTGGCTGCAGCGGCCATTTGGGAAGTGAACCAATGGAAGGAAGACCTCTCTCTCTCTCTCTCTCTCTCTCTGTAACTCTACCTATCAAATAAATAAATAAAAATTTTTTAAAAAATAATCTCTTTCTATTTTGTTTCAGTACAGTCCTTCTTCCAAGTCACCAACTGCAACAAAATGTATTTGGACAAGGCTTTCTCCAGAGGGTCATATCACAGCAAAGAAATGAATTCCCTCTCTCAAGTTCATCAAATGTAAAACTAAAATCAGCACTAGCACTGATGGCTACACCAGCAGGCACGCATGCTGCAAGTCCTCTGCAGGCAATGCATCTGCGAGTAGGTTTGCCTTTCCCTTCACCCAGGCATGGGTGCCATAGTATAGACCGTTCTAGTGGTGCTCAAGCTGCTGGCTTGCATGATTTCCCCATCCAGTGAATGCCAGTGTGTGCTGGCTGCAGGACTCTGCAGCTGCTCTCCAATCTCCTCTTTGAATACATACCACCTCCCCCTGCCCTTCACCCTGCCCATCTGGCACCTTCCCTGGAGGCCCACAAAAGCAGCTAATCCCAGCAAAGCAATTTCAGAGAGCTGGACACTTCACCAGTTGCCATACAGACCTGGAGGAGAGGGAAGTTAGGGTAACAAGCTTTGGACAAACCAAGGCGTTCAGGGATCTTCCTTCTTTCCAAACCCAATCACACACACACACACACACACACAGAGGTATGATGATAATGACAGATATGTACACCTGAAGCTAGAAGACCCAAACTCAAATCTCTGCTCCCCACTCAGCGGCTCCGTGCTCTTACGCAATTCCTTAATCGTTGTGCCTCAGCTTCCTTACTTTTAAAGCAAGTGTGCTAACAGCATCACCACTTCCTAGAGCCCCGTGGGGATTAAACAAGACCATGCTCAAAGCACAGGATGCTGAATCACAATAGATGTTAGCTGTGGCTGCTCTTTTACTAAGGTAAATGTTGAAAAGAAGAGATAATCCTAAATTCTACCTCTTCTCTCTCTGTGGAGGTGAGGGCTGGTATTAGACATATACTTATGACTTCTAGTCCTCACTCAGAAAGCCACATGCTCCCATCCACCAGCCCTCTCCTGGACATATGGCCAGTACATAGCATGGGCAGCCTATCACAGCATCCAGAGCAATGCCCAATTTCAGCAAACCATGTACGGGTTTCTGTTCTACTTTGTAGAACATTCTTGAGCCATGACTTTCCCTTTCTCTAAAATCTCTCTTTTTGGGGCCAGCACTGTGGCACAGTGGGTTAAAGCCCTTGCCTGAAGTGCCAGCATCCCATATGGGTGCCAGTTCTAGTCCCAGCTGCTCCTCTTCTGATCCAGCTCTCTGCTATAGCCTGGGAAAGCAGTAAAAGATGGCCCAAGTCCTTGGGCCCCTGCACCCATGTGGAAGACTCCAAGAAGCTCCTGGATCCTGCCTTTGGATCAGCGCAGCTCCAGCCAATGCAGCCATCTGGGGAATTAACCAGCATATGGAAGGCTTCTCTCTGTCTCTACCTCTCTCTATAACTCTGTCTTTCAAATAAATAAAATAAAATAAAATAAATCTTTAAAAACAATCTCTCCTTTTTGCACATTTGGGATGCTTAGGGGCTAACCAGACCAATGATCTCCCAACTTCTTTGGGACAACATCCCTTCATTCTACTGGAAATCTTAATGGAGACCCCAACATACACAGGGATTAGGGAGGATTATGTCCGAGGAAACTTCAGTTGTTTCTACAGTATTCGAATTCCTTGCAAGGAGAATATATTAGTATACTTCTTATATAATTAAAAATTCATTTTTTATGAAGTCCTGTGTGAAAAGCAAACAAAAACAGAGCTTCTCTGCTTCCATTCACTCAGTTCCCCTCCCTATTCACTACTGGGAGTCCTGTGGCCTCCTCTGCACTTCTGAATGCCACAGAATACAGTTTGAGAACCTCTAGTTTAATAGATGAGCAAATTCAAGGTCAGAGTTCTATGCCTTGTCCAAGTACCCAGAGCCTGATTAATGACAAGTCTCACACTTGAACCCGGGACTCATGTCTTGCATTTTGGCCATTCCTTTTATATTAGATCATAATTCTCAGAATATTATCATTAAAATGACAAGTCCATCACCCAAGAAAAACAGCACACTGAAACTCAGGAACTCTCACAGCACTTAAGCACTAATCAGTTCTCAAATAGTTGCTCATCTCCTTGGAACACGGCATGCTGAACCTGAAAAGCATCTTCTAATCCCACTGGCTCTGGCTTGTGAAGATGAGATGAGATGAGATGAGGCTTACAGCGAGCCGAGAAGAGGGCCCGACACAGAGCACTCACTAACAGATTCTAACAGTGTCACAGGTATCCTGAGATTTAGACTTTGTTCCTTTCTCTAGGGGAAGGACAGTATCTTTGGGCAAGAATTTCAAACAGAGATCCCAGCCCTATTTTCTTCCCCAACTCAAAGCTGAATGTTCACATCAGTACCTGGAGCCTGGCAGCTGTACCTCCATCCTCCCTCAATAGTACAGATAAAATGCCAATTCATGGGGTGTGCTGAATTTTCTTGGTCCCATGCCTTGCCCCAGTGTTGGCATTTTCAGCTCTGTTCCATGAAAATCAGGTTGCCCATCTGAACTGTGATGTGAAAAATTAAGATCCTTGTATTGTAAGGTGATTAACTGCATATGTTTGCATTCACAAATGCGTTGAACTCTCACCAGAAGGCTGCATAAGGTGATATAGGCATGTGGCTAAGAACAGAGTGAGCAAGTGAGAGAGTGAGCAAGCTGGGTGTTAAGTTTTATCTCTGTAATGTTCTGGTTGTGTGACATGGGGCAAGTCACTTTTTGCTTTCTTTAAAAAACATTTATGGATTTACTTTCATTTTATTTGAAAGGGAGAGTATGAATCGTTCATCTACTGTACACTCCCTCAAAGCCCACAATAGCCAGGCTGGGCCACGCCAAAACCACACACCTAGAACTGGATCCAGGTCTGCCACATGGATGTCAGGGACCCAAATACTTGATCTATCACCTGCTGCCTGCCAGTGTAAGCATCACCAGGAAGTCAGACTGGAAGCAGAGTAGCCAGAACTAGAATCAGGCATGCTGACAAAGGAGATGGGCATTTCAAGTAGCATCTTAACCACTGCACCAAACACCTGCCCCCACATTCCTTGTCTAAGTCTCATAGTCATCCTCTGTGAGATTAAATAAGATAATACATATAAAGCTTCCAACACAAGGTAACAATTAAATCCCACTTCTCGTTGACCGACGCTGTGGCTCACTTGGCTAATCCTCCGCCCGCAGCACCGGCACCCCGGGTTCTAGTCCCGGTTGGGATACCGGGTACTAGTCCTGGTTGCTCCTCTTCCAGCTCAGCTCTCTGCTGTGGCCCGGAAGGGCAGTGGAGGATGGCCCAAGTGCTTGGGTCCCTGCACCCACATGGGAGACCAGAAGGAAGCACCCGGCTCCTGGCTTTGGATCAGCACAGCACCGGCCGTAGCGGCCATAAGGGGAGTGAACCAACAGAAGGAAGACCTTTCTCTCTGTCTCTCTCTCACTGTCTAAAACTCTCTCTCTCTCTGTCTCTCTCTCTTTCTAACTCTGCCTGTCAAAAAAAAAAATCCCACTTCGCAGACATAAATGATGCTAAGAAGAAAAAGGGTTTATGCGTGGTCATGCAGCCAAAGACACCAGGATAGACAATTGTGGCTCCAAGCTATTTTGAGACCCCAATTCCCTCACCAACCCCCCTGGCCCCTCTTCTATTTGTTTTCTGGGATTCCTGCTGCTTCCAGCCTAGGCTGTGGTCCCTGGCAACAATGAAAGTTCTTAGAAAGAGAAGCATCACTGTCAGAGGGCTTGAAGTCTTTGGCTATTCATCACTGCACAGGTGCTCCTTAACTTATGGTGGGGCTACCATTAAATACATTTTAATTTGAAAATATCATAAGTTAGGTGTTGCAGTGGGTTACACTGCTGCCTGCAATGCCAGCATCCCATATAGGCACCAGTTTGATTCCTAGCTGCTCTACTTCTGATCTAGCTTCCTGCTAATGTGTCTGGGAAAGTAGCAGAGGGTAACCCAAGTATGCGGACCCCTGCCACTCATGTGAGAGTTCCAGATGTAGTTCTAGGGTCTTGGCTTTGTTCTGGCCCAGCCTTGATCTTTGCAGCCATTGGGGAGAGTGAACCAGCAGATGGAAGACCTTTCTCTCTGTGTCTCTCCCTTTATTTCAAATAAATAAGTATTTTTAAAAAAGGAAAATATGATGTCGAAGCACACTATTCATATTAAACCTACTGAACATCCTAATTCAGCAGCACAGCACACTGTGGAATGTCTGCCATTCACCCCTGTGATCACAGGCAGACTGGGCAGTATCAAGATAGCATATAGAATGTATCACTGACCCAGGCAGGATCCAAATTAAAAAAACACAATTTCTACTAAGTGTGTATTGTTATTGCACCATTGTGAAGTTGAAAAGTCATTACTGCAGACCATCTGTAGTGCTTGGTGTCCTAAAATTCATCTCCTCACAGAACCTCAGAAGGTGACTTAATTTGGAAATACAGAGTTTTTGGAAAGGGAAGTAAAGTAAGGATTAACATGAGATCCCAATGCATTAGGGTGGCCCCTAAATCAAACTGGACAGAGAAGGACACACAGAACCAGAGAGGAAGCCATAAGAAGATAGAAACAAAAGTTGGAGAGATGCTACGAGGAGTCAAGAACAACTAGGAACCTCCAGAAGCTGGAGACTCCCCTAGTCTGTGGAGGGAGGCCAGCTCTGCCAACACCTCCATTTGGAACCTCTGGCCTCCAGATTTGCAAGAGAATAAGTCCTTGTTGTTGTTTCAACCCTCCCAGCTTGCAACACATTTGACTCCGGAAGGAACAGAGGTATCCATTTATAATACCTGCATGGAAAAGAGGCAGCTGTGATGGGACAGAGCATAAATTCAGGGCAGAGCATAAATTGGAGGTACAAGTGGGCTCAGTTCTTTCTTATGTCCAGTCTTTGTTTATTAAAAAAAAAAAAACGGATATCATCTCATACGACTTGTGGTGAGGATTACATGAGGTGGCGGGGCACAGCAGCTGCCTTGGTTGTAACAAGAGGCATCTCATCACCATGGATAGAGCATGGCATGCCTTGCTTAATTTAGTCCACACAACTGCCCTAGTGATGGGCTCTCTGACTCTTCTGCTGTTAGGAGAGAAACTGGGCCAGTGGGGCTAATAAACTCCTCAAGGCCATGTGGGTAATGAAAGGCAGATCTAGGACTCAAACCCAGGCCATCTGATTCAAGAACACCCACTCTGCCACACATTCTTAGGTTTCTACAACCTTAAATTGCCCTGTTCCCAAAGCTAGCCTGGTTGGAGCTGGCACACAGTAATGGTCAATTAATATTCACATCTTTATCTTATCCCTTCTTTTCTAAGCTTGAAACCCAAGAACCATCTCAGCATCGTGTCAAGGTCAATAGGACCCCAAATCCAATTCCAGGAGCTCTGAAGCCTAACCTGAGATATTTACTCAGCACTTCACATGGAAAATTTCTTATAAGTCCTCTGCACACATTCCTCCTTTCTTGCAAGTCACACCTGAGACAACTCCTCTGATTTGTCTCCCTCCCTATTCTTCTTCTCTCTCTCACTCCCCTCCCTCCCTTTTCACTCTCATCCAACACACCAGCTCAGCAGGATCACCGTCAGGACGTGTCAGCCTTAATGGGCAAGGACATGGTAACTGAATGTCTCCAGCATCATGGTTTTCCCTTTCATCCACCTCCCCTCTCTTCCTCTCATTTAGATTACTGTACAATGTCCCCTTCCCAATTCAACACCCTGTTATGCACAATCTGTGTCATGAAATCCTGGAGCTGTCAGAAAACAGAGAAGCAGATATCGCTGTGAGTAAGATGCTGAACCAAAAACGAGAGGAAATCCAACAGGCCTATAAGCACCATGCCAAATTGCTGCAAGTCACTGCCTGGCCTTTTCCATTGCCTTTGTCACTGCTTCTCTTATCAGTGAGGAATTATCTCAGAGAATGAAGGAAGACCACTCATTTCAATGTAAGAACCAACCTTGGGGAATTGCCATTCCCCTGGTTTCCAGAAAAGTAAGGCATTTTGAATATTGGAGGGGAGAGAAGAAATTCCAGGACACAGAATGGGCACATTGAGGGTAGGTGACTGAAGGGTATGTCAACTCACCAAAAATCTGATGTCTACTGAAGAAACCAGCATCAGAAGAGTTGCAGAGTTGCAGGTTCCTGGGAGCTGCCATTCTCTCGAGATCCAGGCAGGCAGGAGTTGAGTTCAGGGAAGTCTGCAAGTCACAACACCCAAAACCCAGCACAGACGGGCAGAGTGAGGGCTCCCAGCATAGCAAGAAGACAGACCTATAGACAGAAGGTAGATTTTGAGATCATGGACTTGGGTGTAAGGGAAACACAAGGTCAGGGCAGGAGAACTGAGGTGCTGGGTGGGGCTCAGCCTTCATGGTGGGTGTGGAAAGAGTTAGCAGGTATAGGTAACAGGCTGTTGGCCTCAGAGTACAGCAAGAACATCTCCCATCTAAGTCTCCCCCTCTACTTGAAAAAGCCCTTAGAATATTGCACCCTTCAAGTCTCAGTTATTTGATCTGGAAATATGACTGAAAGGAACCTCTTAGTTGTATGCAAATATTTAACTTCAAAAATGCTCATTACAGAGGGCTGTGGGGGAAAATGGGAAACACCTACATGTCTGTGCATTGGTTAAGTGATTCGACACAGCTACAAACACAAAACAGCTCAGCATTTCCCACTGCTGGTGAGAAAGAATATCCGAGGACAGGCAAAAATGCTTATACCTTGCTATGCGGAAACAACAAATAATAGCAAGACCCTACCTTACTATTACAATAGTAAAACTTATATAACTATATAGATCTACATAATCTACTAACATCTTAGTGCAATTTTTTTCAGTGTTCAAAAAAATGTGTTATTTATATCAATTGCTGCAAAGTAACCTATTATATTTTGACATGGCAGCCTGAAGAGACTAATAGTCTTACACACACACATATATACATATATGTGATGTCTTTCTATGCAGATGCTATATGGTTTATGTATATATATATATATGTTAATTTTATGTATAGTCCTATCTAAGTGGCAAAATATCTGACTGCCCATCAAAGTACTACACGGTTCTCTCACAGCAGTGGGATTATGGACTTTTTACTTTGCTCTTTTTGCCTACCTGAATGATGTGAATTTTTTACAACAACCTTGTATTACTTCGTATTACTATTACTAAGTGCCACAAGATAATTACTACACAGCTGTTTTCCAACTAGCCTTGTTCATGCGTGCTGGGACAGGGCGAAGTGGCCACAGTAAGAGTGGTGATACTGGGAGAGAAGTTCAAAAACTGGGGCCAGGCTGGGGCTGCCAATGTCTTAAGCAGATTTTCGGAGTTGATGCGGGCCTCGGTTTGTCCGCATAATGGGATTCCCAATGTGACTTAGTCCCTTACTATTAGGATACTTAGGACTGGAGAATTTGTTTAAAAAAAAAAAAAAAAAAAAGTTGGGGCCAGCACTGTGGCATACCAGATAAAGCCGCCACCTGCAGTGCTGGCATCCCCTATGGACACTGGTTCAAGACCTGGCTGCTCCTCTTCCAATCCAGCTCTCTGCTATGGCCTGGAAAAGCAGTAGAGGATGGCCCAAGTCCTTGGACCTCTGTACCCACGTGGGAGACTCGGAAGAAGCTCCTGGCTCCTGGCTTCGGTCAGGCGCAGCTCCCGCTGTTGTGGCCTTTGGGAGAGAACCAGCGGATGGAAGACCTCTTTGTCTCACTCTCTGCTTCTCTATAGCTCTTTCAAATAAATAAATATTTTTTAAAAAATAAAAAGCCTCTATTTTGGATCACATGTTTGAAAGCTGGGAAGTTTGGAAGCAGGAGGCCGAGTGACTTGTTCGGTGTCATAATACGGCAGAGTAAAGCCAAAGGACAAGCACCTGCAACTTGCTCTGAGGACACGGAACTCGCGCGCCCGCAACCCACTCTCGCGGGAACTAGTTCTGTCTCACGAGAACTCGCGTGAGAGCTAGAGCCCTAGTCGGCTCTTAAAGGCCCCACCCGCTCTTCATCGTGTGCCACTAGAAAACAAACGAGTCCCCAAGTGAGTTTTGCTGGAAACCATAGCTCCGTGGAAAACGTGCTTCACACACACACACACACACACACACACACACACACACACACATTTGCCGGATAGGCTGAGGCCTGTGTGTCCCCGCCGTGTGGACGAGGGTCACAGGGGTAAGGCTGTTCCCTGGATTGCTAACAGGGCCCTTCCCGTGGGGGTTCCCGTAAACTCGCGCCGCCTCAGAGTCCTGAGGCCCGCGTTTCGTGTCCCCTGAACAGGCCTGCTGGACATCATCTCCATGGCAGAGACAGCGACGATGCCGGAGCAGACCAGCTGGAGCTGGTGACTGTCCAGCTCTCGGGAAGTCTAGGTCCGGCAGGAGTAGAGCTCAGGTTCCTGTGAGTGCTGTGGGGCAGGGGTGTGGAGGAGGGGGCAGTGCTGGGAGGATCTGGTATTTATGGATGACCTGGGCCCTGGGACAAAGGCCTCGCACATAGTAAAAAATTAATAACAATCTCATGTCATTGTCACGCCTTCCAGAGTAGTGGCTATTGTTATCTCCCATTTTAAGTAAGACTCTGGAGTTGAGATTGAGTTCAGGCTAATCTGACTCCAGAACAATCTTGGGATCTTTTCTGTGTTACCTGCTGGAGAAGGATGACAAAAGAGACAGCAAGAGGGAGAGACCTGGAGATAGTACTCTGCTCTGGGGTCCCTAGGAACACTCAGTTCTGGCTCAGATATACGTAAGGTAAAAAAGTATCTGGGTGATGGGCAGGCATTTAGTGTGGTGGTGAAGATGTCACTTGGGACCCATGCCTCCCATATGGGAGTGCCTGGGTTGGAGTTCCAGTTCTGCTCCTGATTCCAGCTTCCTGGTCGTGCACCCTGGATGATGGCTCAAGTACCTGTGTCCCTGCCACTCACACGGGAGACCCGACTGAATTCTGGCTTCAGCACAGCCCAGTCCCAGCTGTTACAGGCATTTGAGGAGTGAGCCAGTGGTTGGGAGACTTCTCTACCTGCAAATAAATAAATGTATAAATATATATATGCATATATATTTTTTTTTAATTGAGTGACCTTAGGCAGGTACTTAAGCATATGAGCTTCAGGTCCTCATTTATAAAATGGGAGACAATAATACCTCTTTCCTGGGGTCATTAGCAACCTCAGAGTTGCGAGTGTTCAAAGTCCATTCTCTACAGAGCTCAGCACTGCTGAGGAATCACAAGTAGTGTTTCTAGACGATTTGTAATTTTAAAAACTGGCCACTGGCAGACAAACAGTGAGAGAAAAGTAAAACAAAACAATAACAGAGAATTAAATGGCTATCTGGATGGATAATTCCCCAAAACTGACTGCCAGTTCCAGCCCCAGCTGCAGTAGAAGCTGCAGAAACCTCACACTGCCCAGGCATGCCAAGTTCCCGCCCTCTTTTACTGATGACGCAGCGTCATGAGACTTGGGCATACGAATGTACCATTTGCACATGGGGAGGCTGAGGCTCAGAGAAGTGAATCAACCTGCCCAGGTTCCCTCTGCTAGGAAGGGAGGTGAGGATTCAGGCCCTGCCCTTCCTGCCTTCCAAACCTATGCTCTCACTGCGACATGCCCTTCTCTCTCACCCCATAAAATGAACTGTGATAGTCACAGCTCCTATTTATCAAGCTTTTTGCATGTGCCAGATCCTATGTAAAACGCTTCATGTACATACCCCCACGACAGGAGCCTTCCGAGGAAGGGTGTGGAACATTCCCATTTTACACATAAGAAACATCCTCCCTTTTTTCTGGAAATAAGCTAAGCCAAATACCCAAGCATTCAGGAAAAACTCCTCTGTCCTCATGCTTTAAAGGAAGATAAAGAAACATGAGTCCTATTTTAAAGTACTAAAAATCAGGGCCAGCACTGTGTTAGAGCAGTGAAGCTGCCACCTGTGATGCTGGCATCCCACGTAAGTGCTGGTTCGAGTCTCAGCCTCTCCACATCTGATCCAGCTTCCTGAGAAAGCAGTGGAAAATTGCCCAAGTGTTTGGGCTCCTGCCACACACATGGGAGATCCGGATGGAGTCCCAGGATCCCAGCTTCGACTGGTCCTGCCCCAACCTTTTTTTTTTTTTTTTTTTTTTTTTTTTTTTTTTTACAGGCAGAGTGGATAGTGAGAGAGAGACAGAGAGAAAGGTCTTCCTTTTGCCGTTGGTTCACCCTCCAATGGCCGCCACGGCCAGCGCGCTGTGGCCGGCGCACCGCGCTGATCCGATGGCAGGAGCCAAGTGCTTCTCCTGGTCTCCCATGGGGTGCAGGGCCCAAGCACTTGGGCCATCCTCCACTGTACTCCCTGGCCACAGCAGAGAGCTGGCCTGGAAGAGGGGCAACCAGGACAGAATCCGGCGCCCCGACCGGGACTAGAACCCGGTGTGCCGGCACCGCAAGGTGGAGGATTAGCCTAGTGAGCCGCAGCGCCGGCCCTGCCCCAACCATTACAGTCATCCATTTGGGGAGTGAACCAGTGGGTGAAAGATTTCTCTCTCTCTCTCTCTCTCTGTCTTTCAAATAAATAAAATAAATCTTTAAAAAAAAAAAAAGGTGCCGAAAATCCCTTCAGCCCAGAAGTGTTCAGAAATCTCCAGACACTGTCTTTGCTGCTGTGTGAACAGTGACTGCCACTTTGCATCTTCTGACCTTTGCAGAATGTGTACACACACGAAGGCATTATTCCCAGCATCTGGCACATGCCCGGGAGTGCATTAGGACAAGCATAACTAACGTTTATTAAGCACTAGCTTGGAGCCAGGCATGGCACTAAGCTCTCAATTTGTGATCTCACTGAATTTCCTCATCAAGCCCATGAATCCAACCACATAGGGACAAAAGTCAACAGTAGATACTTGAATAAATCAAATTATCTAAAAGTTACAGAAGGATGCCAGGTAGTTAAGACATAGAGCAAGGTCTCAGTAACAATTTCCAGCAAAAGAGTCAGCTTTCAGAGCCCCAGAAGTCTTGCTAGCATCCTACAGACAGGAATGGATGCTAATAACGTTCTCCAAGGTCCAGCATGGTACAGTGTGTATTGTTTGGAGATGTAACCAGCCCATTAACCTCAGAGACGCAAGAACAACTCTACAGTGGCAGCATAGAGGACACAGCACACTCAGATCTGCACAAATTCCTAATCCATCATCCTCAGCTTTCCAGGCCAACAGGCTGTAGGCCAGATTGATGCTCCAATTCAGTTTCCTAGCTATGAGGAGTCTTCAGAAAGTTTATGGAAAATGTGTACGATGAAAAAACTATGCATGGATTTCAATTTTTTAATATCAAAATGTACTTTCCTTTTGCTTCCATTTTTTCCAAACCTTTTTTTTTTTAAGATTTATTTTATTTCAGAGGTAGAGTTAAAGACTGAAAGAGGGAGAGACAAAGAGAAAAGTCTTCCCTCTGCTGGTTCACTCTGCAAATGGCTGCAATGGCCCAAGCTAGGCTGATCAGGAACCAGGAGCTTCTTCCGGGTGCAGGGGCCCAGGCACTTGGGCCATCTTCTACTGCTTTCCCAGGTCATAGCCAGACAGCTGTATTGGAAGTAAAGCAGCAGGGAATCTAACAGGTACCCATATGAGATGCCAGCACTGCAGGCAGAGGCTTAGCCCACTATGCCACAACAACAGTCCCTTTTTCAGACTTTTCAAAGTACCATTGGATTTCTCCGAGCTGGTCCATTTGGTGCTTTAGATCTTAGCTTGCAAGTGTGCCCTGTTCTTATTTCCATTTTGGAGGAGTTACGGTTAAGAAATTTGCCCAAGGTAACAATATTAGAATACTTCAAAAAGTGCATGGAAAATGTGATTAAAAGATAAGGGTGAGGGGGCCAGTGATTTGATTTAGTGAGTAAAGCCACTACCTGCAGTGCCGGCATCCCATATGGGCGCCAGTTCAAGACCTGACTGCTCCACTTTCCATCCAGCTCTCTGCTATGGCCTGGAAAAGCAGGAGAAGATGGCCCAAGTCCTTGGGCCCCTGCACCATGTGGGAGACCTGGAAAAAACTCTTGGCTCCTGACTTCAGATAGGCACAGCTCCAGCCATTGCAGTCAATTTGGGAGTGAACCAGCGAATGGAAGACCTCTCTCTCTCTCTCTCTCTCTCTCTTTCTGCCTCTCCTTCTCTCTGTGTAACTCCAACTTTCAAATAAATAAAATAAATCTAAAAAAAAAAAAAGGTTAGGGTGGGCATTTGACCCAGTGATTAAGATGCCACATAAGTGCCTGGGTTGAGTATCCAAGCTCTGTTCCTGACTCCACCTTCCGGCCAGTGCATTCCCTAGGAGGCAGAGGTGATGGCTTTAAGTAATTGAGTTCCTGCCATCTGTGTGGGAGACTTAGATGTAATTGCAGTCCTGGTCCAATCCGAGCTGTTGAGGGTATTTAGGAAGTAAACCAGCAGATGGGAATTCTCTGTTTATCTTTCTTCCTCTGCTGCTCAAATATATTAATTTTAAAAATTTTTCAGTGCTGTGGCTTAGTGAGTAATGCTGCTGCCAGCAGTGCTGGCATCCCATATGGGTGCCGGTTCGAGTCCTAGCTGTTCCACTTCCAATCCAGCTCTCTGCTCTTGCCTGGGAAAGCAGAAGATGGCCCAAGACCATGGGTGCCTGCACCTGCGTGGGAAGACCCAGAATGAGCTCCTGGCTCCTGACTCCTGGCTTCGGATCAGCGCAACTCCATCCATTGCGGCTAATTGGAGAGTGAACCAGCAAATGGAAGACATCTCTCTCTCTCTCTCTCTCTCTCTCTCTCTCTCTCTCTACCTTTCCTTCCTTCTCTCTGTGTGTAACTCTGACTTTCAAAATAAATAAATAAAGTCAGAGTTACACAGAGAGAGGAGAGGCAGAGAGAGAGAGAGGTCTTCCATCCAATGGTTCACTCCCCAGTTGGCCGCAATGGCTGGAGCCATGCCAATCCAAAGCCAGGAGCCAGGAGCTTCTTCTGTGTCTCCCACAGGGGTACAGGGGCCCAAGGACTTGGACCATCTTCTACTGCTTTCCCATAGCAGAGAGCTGTATTGGAAGAGGAGCAGCCAAGTCTTGAACCGGCGCTCAAATGGGATGCTGGCGCTTTCAGGCCAGGATGTTAACCCACTGTGCCACAGTGCTGGCCCTAAATAAATAAAATCTTTAAAAGAAGTAGAGTTATGGGCAGAGAGAAGGAAAGACAGAAAGAGAGGTCTTCCATCTACTGGTTCACTACCCTCATGACCACAATGGCTGGAGCTGGGCCAAACTGAAGCCAGGAACCAGGAGATTTTTTTAGTCTCTCACATGGGTACAGGGATCCAAGCACCTGGGCTATCTTCCACTGCTTTCCCATCCAGTAAGCAGAGAGCTGGATTGGAAATGGAGCAGCTGGGACTCTAACCAGTTCCCATGTGGGATGCTGACACCACAGGCAGAGGCTTAACCTACTACGCCACAGTAGCAGCCCCAATACAAATAATGCTTAAACTGTATAAAATCTGATTTTAATGTAATATACCCAAGCAGTGGTAACTATGGTTAATATCTTTCCAGGCTTTTTTAAAAATCATGTTTAGGAATAAACTGTAGCATATTTCAAATGTTCATGGAAAATGGAATTAAAAGATTATTTTGGTGCAAAAAAGATTTTGAAATCTATGTATATAAGGAGTCTGAAAAAGTTCATGAAAAATGTGCACCATGAAAAAAATATATGGGGCCAGTGCTGTGGCACAGCAGGTTAAGCCGCTGCCTGTGATGCTGCATTCCATATATGAGTCTTGGATGTTCCGCTTCTGATAACCACTAGGCTAAACACCCACTGTGAGAGAGAGCATCTTTATAAAGGAGAGTTTGACCCTTTCTAGTTCTTTCACCCATGTGATGCCTTCTGCCATGTGATGCCATAGCAAGAATGCAGCTCCTCAATGTTGGACTTTCTGGTTTCCAGAACAGTCAAATAAATTTCTGTTCATTGCAAATTACTCAGTCTGTGCAATTCCATTACAGTGGTATATAACATATTAAGATACATATCTTAGAGATTATATCTTCAAAATTGCTTTTCCTGGGTATCTCCGATGTATACGTGAGGTCTACATGTTAATGGATTTCTTGTTTTTCTGTAGTTAAATCCACCTTTCATTAAGAGATCATGAAGAGTAGAGAAAAAATTATTTGTCTTCCCTTACAGTCGACACACAATAAATAGGGATGTATCTAATTCTGTTAAAGAATAAAACAATTTAAATTGAGATCTCTCCATATTTATCAATCAGGCCCTCAGGGAATATTTTCCATGGGGAAACATGATTTAATAATGGCAGTCACTGAGAAAGCATTTTCCTTTGCTTTACAATCACTTTTTTTAGAGTTTATTCATTTCCTTTTTTTTTAAAGATTTATTTATTTGAAAGTCAGAGTTAACACAGAGAGAGGAGAGGCAGACAAAGAGAGGTCTTTCATCCAATGGTTCACTCCCCAATTGGCTGCAATGGCTGGAACTGTGCCAATCCAAAGCCGGCCCCTTTACATTCACTTTCCATGGACACAACTTCAGCCTCAAGGTAAGACTTAAAATTTTTTTTAATTTTATTTAATGAATATAGATTTCCAAAGTACAGCTTATGGACTACATTGGCTTCCCCCACCCCCCCGATGACTTCCCTCCCACCTGCAACCCTCCCATTTCCCACTCTCTCTCCCCTTCCATTCATATCAAGATTCATTTTCAATTTTCTATATATACAGAAGATCAGTTTAGTATACATTAAGTAAAGATTTCAACAGTTTGCACCCCCATAGAAACACAAAGTGAAAAATACTGTTTGAGTACTCGTTATAGCATTAAATCACACTGTACAACACATTAAGGACAGAGATCCTACATGAGGAGTAAGTGCACAGTGACTCCTGTTGTTGACTTTACAAATTGACACTCCTGTTTATGGCATCAGTAATCTCCCTATGCTCCAGTCATGAGTTTCCAAGGCTATGGAAGCCTTTTGAGTTCTCCAACTCTTATCTTATTTAGACAAGGTCATAGTCAAAGTGGAGGTTCTCTCCTCCCTTCAGAGAAAGGTACCTCCTTCTTTGAAGACCTGTTCTTTCCACTGGGATCTCACTCACAGAGATCTTTCATTTAGGTTTTGTTTGTTTTGTTTTGTTTTGTTTTGTTTTGTTTTGTTTTTTGCCAGAGTGTCTTGGCTTTCCATGCTTGAAATACTCTCATGGGCTTTTCAGCCAGATCCGAATGCCTTTAGGGCTGATTCTGAGGCCAGAGTGCTGTTTAGGACATCTGCCATTCTATGAGTCTGCTGTGTATCTCGCTTCCCATGTTGGATTGCTCTCCCCTTTATTTATTCTATCGGTTAGTATTAGCAGGTACTAGACTTGTTTATGTGATCTCTTTGACTCTTAGTCCTTTCATTATGATCAATTGTGAACTGAAATTGATCACTTGGACTAGTGAGATGGCATTGGTACATGCCACCTTGATGGGATTGAATTGGAATCCCCTGGTATGTTTCTAGCTCTACCATTTGGGGTAAGTCAGCTTGAGCATGTCCCAAATTGTACATCTCTTCCCTCTCTTATTCCTACTCTTATATTTAACAGGAATCACATTTCAGTTAAATTTCAACACTTAAGAATAACTGTGTATTAATTACAGAATTAAACCAGTCGTATTAAGTAGAACAGACAAAAAAATACTAAGAGGGAAAATGTATTAAGTTGTTCATTAATAGTCAGGGCTATGCTGATCAAGTCACCGTTTCTCATAGTGTCCATTTCACTTCAACAGGTTTCCTTTTTGGTGTTTAGTCAGTTGTCACCGATCAGGGAGAACATATGATATTTGTCCCTTTGGGACTGGCTTATTTCACTCAGCATGATGTGTTCCAGATTCCTCCATTTTGTTGCAAATGACTGGATTTCATTGTTTTTTACTGTGGTATAGTAGGTAAGACTTAAATTTTAAATTATACTCAGGTACATGAACATTCACAGTAGCATTTTTCATAACAGCCCCAAAGTGGAAACATCCCAAATGTCACCAGCTGATAAGTGGATAAATAGAGTGTAGCATATCAATGCAATCTAATACTGTTCAGCAATAGAAGGAATGGGTGTACTGATACTTGCTACAATATGTATAAGCCTTGAAAACATTATACAAAGTCAAAGAAGGAACTCACAAAGGACCACACTGTGTATAATTGCATTGTGAAATATGGAGAAGTACACAGAGACACAACTGGACTAGTGGTTGCCAGTGCCTATAAGAGGGCAGGAGGGGAATGTGCCTTTGGGGGTTGCTGACTAAAGGGTTTGGATTTCTTTCTAGAATATTGAAAATATTCAAAAATCCTGGTGCTGGATGCACAACTCTGAATGTATATCAAATAGTACATCAAACAGTACATCAAAATAGTACATCAAATAATACACTTGAAAAGAATCAAGTGAATTATATCTCAATACAGCTGTTAATAGCTGTTATAAGCTTGGTGTTCAAATTGTTGTGCTAATAATGGCTTCAGTTTTTAGAGTTATAAGGGTGTGTCAAAATACAGGGTTTGTATGTTTTGGGTAAATTTTTCATTCCTTAAAAGAGAAATTTTCCCCTTTTTGTAGATTTTAGACCAAATGTAAATTCCCAAATTTGCTTATCTGTATACATTTGTCTTTTAAAGCTCAGTAATCAATATTTTTCTTACTCAGTGAAGTTTCAAAATTACAGAATTGAGATTACTTAGACTTAAATTTTAAAATTTATTTGTGTAAACATTGTTCCAAAGCACGCAGTGAGGTTTTCTGAAAAGTGATAGGACTTCTGCAGTTTTTATACTGTGACCAGTTAAATCCACTTGATGTTTTTCCTCTCCCTTGCCTTCTCTTACTATTCACTCTTCCAGTAGAAAGAATTGACTGCCTAAATACAAGAGATAGGGTTGTTTTCTGCTCTTCATAGTCAGGGCTAATAAAATTCTGTTGCTGCATCAGTCAAGCATGTTCTGAATTCTGACTTCTTCAATACAATGACATTTTTGCATGATTAGGCCTGTACAATTTGTTCCAAAACATTACCCTGCAAAGTAGGCCGCTCTGTGTCTGGCCAGCCAACCTGGGCTTGGTTGTCCTGGTTTGTGGACAAGGATCTGTAACACGGAGGCCTTGTATACAATAGAACATGGGTTATGTCAAGTACAAATGCTCCAGAGATTAATTCAGGAAAATGGGAGTCAACAGACCTCAAGTTTCTTGAGGCAGCAAAACAGCTGATGTAAGAAGCCTGGGTCTGTAGGCCTAGGCACATGCATGTGTTTGCAAATCTAGAGTCACCATCAGCAAATAATTTCCTCCAAAAGCTTATAGGCTGTCTGTCCCTCATGAAGGGTGTGGAATGATGACAGATGTCAATTTAGCAGAGTTTAATTGAGCAAAGAAAGATGTGTCAGTCAGATAACTCTCAGGTTCAGGAAGCTCTGCTCTGCAACATCAGGAGGCAGCGTTTGCAAACGGAAGATGGAAGTGAAGCCCGGAGGAACTTGATTGGTTACAGTTCAGTGTTTGCTTTATTTGGACACGGCCTGATCTGTTAGCCTGTGATTGGCAGAAGCTCTGCTGCTGGGACTGCCTGAGACTCAGCCATTTGTCACAGAAGCATTTCCTAAATTAGCCTTCCCGTTAGTTTACATGTTGAGTTAGGTCGCAGTTTGTCACTTAGTGACTCAAGGTATGAAGACAGCTTCTGCCCAAGTTTAGTAGGAGGCAGATGACAACGGATTTGAAAATGCTTTTACTTTCTGGTCCTTTTGGGGAGGGCATCCTCTCCTGCTGTGAGGGCCCCTCCATAGCCTCCCACCTCCACTGACAACAACTCAAAGAAATGCCTTTTCATTTTTAAATTCATGCTTGAAAAATTCAGAGAAGCCAAGGAAATGAATTTTTTTAAAGACTAAGATGGAACTAACTGTTTTCAATACTTTGGTGTTTATTAGTGCTGACCAATAGAAATAGAAGTGGAGCCACAGGTATAAGTTTCTTATATCAACATTTTTTAAAGATTTTTTTAAAAAGATCTTTATTTATTTATTTAAGAGGTAGAGTTACAGACAGAGAGAGGAAGAGAGAGAAAGGTCTTCCATCTGCTGGTTCATCCCCAAATGGCTGCAACCACCAGAGCTGGGCTAATCTGCAGCCAGGAGCCAGGAGCTATTTCCAGATCTCCCACATGGGTGCAGGGGGCCCAAGCACTTGGGCCATCTTCCACTGCTTTCCCATACCATAACAGAGAGCTGGATTGGAAGAGGAGCAGCAAGGACATGAACCCATATGGATTCTGTGGAGGCTTAGCCTACTACATACACCATGGTGCCAGGCCCCCATAAAGATTTATTTGTTTATTTGAAAGGCACAGTTACACACACACATGCACACACACACACACACACACACAGTGCTTCTATCCACTGGTTCACTCCTCAAATGGCCGCAAAGGCTTGAGCTGGGATGATCGAAGCCAGGAGTCAGGAGCCTCTTCTGGGTCTCCCATGCAGGGGTAGGGGCCCAGGCACTTGGGCCATCTTATGCTACTTTTCCAGGTGCATTAGCAGGGAGCTGGGTCAGAAGTAGAGCATCTGGGACTTGAACCAGCATCCATATGGAATGCCAATACTGCAGGCAGTAGCTTTACCTGATAGACCACAGTGCCACCTCCTGCACCAGCATTTTAAAAGTTAAAAGAAACAGGAGAAAAGAGTGTTCATAATAGTTTAACGTAACATGTACAAAATATCATTTTGTCATATAATCAACCTAAAAATTGTAAATGGTATATTTTATACTTTCACACCATCTTTGAAACCCAGAGTGTATTTTACAGATACAGCACATTTCACCACCTTTCAGATGCTCAGTAAGCTCATGTGGCCTGTGCCTGTTGTACTTATCAGTGCTGTGTGTGCTGTGAACCTTTCCGCAAAGGAGGGCACATCCTGATGTTCTTAGCATCTTGCCCAAATGTAGATGTGGGGCAGAAGAGTAAGAGGATGGAGTGGAGCTTAAAAGCCATCAGCAGTAAAAAAAAAAGGGGGGGGGGGTAGGAACAGCTGTTTGGTGCAGCATTATGACACCACTTAGGACACCCACATCCAATAACAGAGCTCTTGGGTTCAAGTCCTGGTTCTGTTTCTGATTCTAGCTTCCTGCATTAGGTTCACTCTGGGAGGTAATAAGTGATGGCTCAAATAATTGGTTCCTTGTCACGCTGTGGGAAACGGATTGAAAATCTGGCTCCTGGCTTCTGTCTGTCCCAGACCTGACTGTTGTGGGCATTTGAGGAGTGAACCAGTAGACAGAATCTATTTCTCTCGTTCTCTCTGCCTTCAAATAAATTTTAAAAAATTGAAAAGAGACCCTTTACATACACACACATGTGTGTGTGTATGTATACCAATCTATCTCTGTCTACAATATATAGAGTATACATCCAAGTAAAGAAATATACTCAAAACTACATGTTAGAAAATTAAGTAGGAGGGAAAAGTGCGTTGAAAAGCACTAAAAGCTCAAAACTTAGCAAAAGAATGCCGTATGTGTGTAGCAAAATTATACCACTTCAGGGGACAGATACACAGCAACAGCCCTCACCCCAAACAGCAAATGTAGCCCAATCATTATTCTTAAAACGGAACCTTGCATTGCAGTCTTTTCCTGAAATGCCTCCCAGCCCCCAGCCACAGAGCCTTTCTCTCATTTCTTTCAGTTCTCCATTCAAATCTCGCCTTGTGTACTCCATCAGAGAGGTCTCCCTTATTCAGGCTGTCTGAATTACAGAGTTCCCTGCCCTGTGGTTCTCTTTCTCCTCACTGCTCAGCATTTCTGCAAAGCAGCTACCCTGATAAGGTTTGTTCTTTTGTTTCTTGCCTGTTTACCCTGATAAAACTGAAAGCTTGAGAGGATAGGACTTTGGGTCTGTTTTGTTCAGTGGTTTGGTTCCAGCATTTAGAGAAGAGGCTGGCACATAATAGGTTCTCAGTAAATGGTTGTTGAGTGACTGCCTGATTGATTAGGAGAAGAGAATGGGGAAAGTAGTCTGAAAAGAGGAGGTAGAAACTCCCACCATTAGTGCAAGTTAAGTGATTTTGTAAAACACAAGTTGTGATTTTTCTTTTTTAAGAAATGCCATTTTGTTTTGAAGTGCTTAAAATAGCAGGCTAACTAAGGATATCTGGAATGCTATGGGATTTGTTTTAATGAATAGATGGAAATGGCATCTAATTAACATTAATTTTTATGTGTGAATGGGTGCATCCAAATTGTATAAAAGCAGTTCTCTTGAATAATTTAAGCATCCACTTTACCCCGCAAAGCATTTAGCATGCTCATCCCTCAAAGATTCTATTAATAGGAATGAAAATCATGAAGGTTAAATGAAATCATGAGGTTTAAATGAAAAATAAAAGGAAAGGGTTTTTTTTGTTTTGTGTTTTTGCTTTTTTTAGTGAAAGCACAGAAGTGAATATTTCAAAACTGCAAAGGGTCCTCAGAGAGCCAACATGATACTTTCTCTTAAAATAAAAAATTAGGAAGATTTTATTAATATAAGAAGAATAAAGAATGCCTCTTTCTGTTTTAAAAAAGATTTATTTATTTGAAAGTCAGAGTTACAGAGAGAGAGAGAGAGTGGGAGAGACAAAGAGAAAGATTTTCCATTTTCTGGTGCACTCCCCAAATGGCCGCAACTGCTGGAGCTGGACTGATCTGAAGCCAGGATCCTGGAGCTTTCTCCAGGTCTCCCATGCGGGTAGAGGAGCCCAAGCACTTAGGACACTTTCTACTACTTTCCCAGGTCATAGCAGAGAGCTGGATTTGAAGTGGAACAGTCAGGACTTGAACTGGTGCCCATACCCAGTAAGCCACAGGTATCAGCCCAAGAATATTTCTTTACAGTAGAATTCAAATTAACAGATATAGACAGAAGGGCAGAAACAGAAAATTATATTTGAGCAAAATCATTGTTTGCAAACAAGTATCATCACGAATGCCAAAATAAGTTGGTAAATGTGGGATGAGAAAGAGGATATTAACATAACCTCAAAGCATTTCTCCACAAAATACCTTAATGCTACAGGGAAAAATGGTAACTCATCAGTGGACAACCTGGGTTCACACCACTTTAGCCATCTCACCAATAACAAGACAGCTAAACTTCATCTCCCTTCTGTTACTGGGGAGGATATAATATGTGGGGTTCTGGACAAAAATGCAGAACTTGAATTTAATCATGGAGAAACATCAAAGAAACAAAAATTGAGGACATTTTACCAAATAACTTATTACTGTTCTTCAAAGGTGTCAAGGCAATGCATGATTAAAGAAGATCCAAGAACTACCTTAGATTTGAGTGATAATAGTGATCAAATGTATTTTGCTATCCTGGATTGAATCTTGGGCCAGATAGTGACATTGGTGGGACAGTTAGCAAAATTTGAACAAGATCTATGGGTTTGGTAATAGTATTAGGTCAATGTTAATTACCTGGTTTACATAATTATACTGTAATTACATTAATGTTATGGAAGTCTGGATGTTAGTCATATGGGACCTCTTTGAACTATTTTTATAATATTCTTCTAAGTCTGGGACAAATTCAAAATAAAAAGTTGACAAGAAACATACATATGGGGCCGGCACTGTGGTGTAGTGGGTAAAGCTGCTGCCTGCTGTGCTGGCATCCCATATGGGTGCTGGTTCGAGTCCTAGCTACTCCACTTCCAATCCAGCTCTCTGCTATGGCCTGGGAAAGCAGTGTAAGATGGCCCAAGTCCTTGGGCCCCTGCACCCGTGGGGGAAGACCAGGAAGAAGCTCCTGGCTGTTGGCTTCGGATCAGTGCGGCTCTAGTCATTGCAACCAGTTGGGAGTGAGCCAGCAAAAGGAAGACCTTTCTCTCTCTTTGCCTCTGCCTCTCTCTCTCTCTCTCTGTGTAACTCTTTCAAATAAATAAATAAATCTTTAAAAAAAAAAAAAGAAGCATCCATATATTCATTGGTAATCTGACATGAGCAGAATAATAATTTTAAAAATAATACTACTTACCTGTTATGGGTTGGATTGTTTCCCCCTAAAATTCATATACAAAACTTCAAATACCCAGTACCTTAAAATGTGTTGGAAATACGGTCATGATGGATGTAATTGCTTAAGATGAGGTCGTGCTGGAGTAGCATCCAATACAACTGGTATCCTCATTCAAACGGGAAATTTGAACACAGGCACACACAGAGAACACCATATGAAGATAAAGGCAGAGTCCAGGGTGATCAACAGATGCCAGGGAACACAGAAGTTCCTAGCCAACCACCAGGAGCTAGGAGAGAGACCTGGATTAGATTCTGACTCACAGCCCACAGAAGGAACCAACCCTGCTACACCTCCTTGTTAGACTTCCAGCCTCTAGAGTGCTGAGACAACACATTTCTATTGTTTAAGCCTCTCAGCTTGTGATACTGAGATGCAGCATCCCCAGAGAACTTATATACTAGTTAATGTTCATAGAGAACTTACAATATGTGAGATCCTATTTGGAGCTCTTCACATGGATTATCTCATTTTATCTTCACCCCAGCCCTTTGCAGGAGAGAACTGATGTAGAGAGTGGGTAGACAACTTGCTTGAAGTCACACAGTAAATGGCAGAGTGAGTTAAAGCCTCTACAGTCTGACATCAGCAGATTCCTACCCACTACATAACTGCTTCTTCTGTTTCCCAGTCAGAAAGATGTTTTAAGGGATGTGAAGTGGTTGCCTGTGATTAATTTCTCCTTATCTCTCATGTATAGATTCCAGGAATGGGAAATAGTCAACTGCACGTGTGGATGCCATATCCTGTTTCTGTACTGCCCATTCCTCCACATCCATGGCCAGCCTCGTGCAATCAAACATCTGCTTATTTGAAAACAATGACCATCAGACTTGTTAGGCCTCCCAAATAAGTGCATTAGTCATCCAGGAAGATGATCCACTTTGAAAATAAATGACTAATTAAAGTAAAAATTTGACATTAGACTTAGGTATCCCAGTCATGAGGGATTGCAATCTGGGACAGTGGAACTACTTTAGAGAAGCAGAAAGGAAACTTATCTTATAGCAAACAGTCCAAGAGAGAACTGCCCTCTGGGTTTTACTCCTTTGTCTTCTTGAGTCATTACTCAGCTAACCTTTATTGAGCATCCTTTGCTTCTGGCTGCTTGGCTCAGATTTGCAGAAGACAGTCCCAGATTCCAATTAGTCTCTTATTCAGGATTGGTCCCAAGGCAAAAAATGGAGCTAAAAGCTTTAGAGGGGCCAGTGCCGTGGCACAGTGGGTTAACACCCTGGCCTGAAGCGCCGGCATCCCATGTGGGCGCCGGTTCTAGTCGCGGCTGCTCCTCTTCCAATCCAGCTCTCTGCTGTGGCCTGGGAAAGCAGTAGAAGATGGCCCAAGTCCTTGGGACCCTGCATCCACGTGGGAAACCGGGAAGAAGCTCCTGGCTCCTGGCTTTTGGGGCTAATTGGGGAGTGAACCAGCGGATGGAAGACCTCTCTCTCTCTCTCTCTCTGCTTCTCCTCTCTCTGTGTAACTCTTTCAAATAAATAAATAAATAAATAAATCTTTAAAAAAAAAAAAAGCTCTTGAAGGCAAATCCCATGTCTCATTTCTTAACCTCTCTCTATTTAGGCATCATCCTTGAAGTGAGCGAAGGTCATTTTCTTGTATATGCTGGTGATACCCAGCTCCCTCTCTCCAGCCAAATCTTTCTCATGAGCTCCATACTCAAGTCTTACTTGATACCTCCATTGGGTGTCCTATAGTTAAATAAGTCGACAGATATAAAGTAGAATTCACAACCTTTATTTTCTTCTGTTTTTTCTTTGCCTTTTTTAAAAAAGATTTATTTATTTGTAAGGCAGAGTTACAGAGAAGCAGAGGCAGAGAGAAAGAGATATCTTCCATCTGCTGTTTCACTTCCCAAATGGCCAGAGCTGAGCTGAGCCGATCCAAAGCCAGGAGCTTCTTCCTGGTCTCTCATGTGAGTACAAGGCCTCAAGGACTTGGACTGTCTTCTGCTGCTTTCCCAGGCACTTTAGGGGGGAGCTGGATCAGAAGTGGAGCAGCTGGGACTTGAACCAGTGCCCATATAGGATGCTGGCACTATAGATGGTGGCTTTATCTGCTATGCCACAGTGTTTGCCTCTAATTTTCTTTTCTTTCTCCCTTTCTCAGCTCACATCTGCTCTTCCTCTCTCACTGAATGGTACCCCCAGTGACCAAGATGATCCAGTCAGAAGCCTTTAAGTTTTTCAGAAGGAGGAACCATGTCTGTTTTTGCCAAGGCCATATCCATGTATAGCTCAGTCCTTAGAGCTACTGGGGGAGTGAACCAGCAGTTGGAAAGTTGGAAGCATTCTCTCTCTCTCTCTCTCTCTCTGTAACTACTTCTCAAATAAATAAATAAATACATCTTTTTAAAAAATTTTTTAAAATTGGCCAGCACCGCGACCACTAGGCTAATCCTCCGCCTGCGGCGCTGGCACCCCGATTCTAGTCCTGGTCGGGGCGCCAGATTCTGTCCCGGTTGCTCTTCTTCCAGTCCAGCTCTCTGCTGTGGCCCAAGTGCTTGGGCCCTGCACCCGCATGGGAGACCAGGAGGAAGCACCTGGCTCCTGGCTTCAGATTGGTGCAGTGCGCCGGCCATAGCGGCCATTTGGGGGGTGAACCAATGAAAGGAAGACCTTTCTCTCTGTCCCTCTCTCTGTCTAACTCTGCCTGTCAAAATTTTTTTAAATTTAAAAATTGTTTGTATTTATTAAGCAAATTGAAATCACCCTTAAAAGTAGAAATGATCATATATAGCTAATAAAGATTGTTGAGGTTCAGAACATGATACCCCAAAGGGTGGCACTTTGACACACTAAATACTTTGAACTGAAGATCAAAAGACCTCAGAGCCAAGAAGTTTCCTTTGTCCTTTTCCCAATGTCCTTTCTCTTTCTCCCATCTCTCTCCTAAAGCATGTACTAGAAATGAGAATTCCTCTTCCCTGAGGCACGTCATAGGAATTAGAACTCCTCCCCCTCAAAGCAAGCTATAAAACCCAGAGCAATCATTCCCTGCCCAAAATCAGGTGGGGAGGCCCTCTTTTAGATGGTTACATGAAGTCACCAGGCAGAATCTAAAGGAACAGGCTTTGCCCCGCTCCCCACCCCCATCTGTTACCATCGAATTACACCCTTAGTGTCCATCACATTTCTGTGTGGCAGGTTGTTCTTCATGGACACAAGCAGAAAAGTGTTTTTTCCTGGGTGTTTACCTCTTCATTTTTGAAGGCTCCTATGTCACATAAGCCTTTGTTAAATTTGTCATCCTTTTTCTTTCTTATCTTTTTTATAGAAGTGTGAACCTTGGATTTTGAAATAGAGGAAAAAAAGTTATTGCTCCTTTTTCCTCCTATAAGATCTTTTAAAACATTGGATCCCTAAATCTGTACAACAGTGATGGACATTTTGTTTTTCAGAAGGGAACCAATCAAGGAAAAATAAAGCATGTTTACAGCCCACATTCTTTTAAAAAGTGATGTCTTGATAGAACAATGTTTTTATTTTGGGTTTTGCACCTACTAAAATTAGTTTACATGAGTTGGAGCCTAAGAATGCTGGAGAGAGGGGCTCAGAGATTGGGAATTGGAGGAAACATCTGGCAGCAGTATTCAGCCACAGATTTGGGGAGCATATTGCAAACCCCTTAGATACCAGGGAAGAAATGGAAGTAAAAGTGGCAGAGTACTAATACAAAATTCTCTGTAAATGACTGTGTCTTTTGCAACTGCTCATGTGTAACATAGATCTAAGAGGGGCAGTTCTCAGGGCAACACTGTCAAGAGGAGAAATGGAAGAACATCTCTGGCTTCTCTTACCGAGTGTGGAGACCTCTGCTCTCCCCACTACTGTCACGGGTCAGGCATGCCCAGTCTCATCCCAGGACCATACTCTGGATGGGAGGGTTGGCTGGAATCCCAGTGGGCATTTTCATTGTGGACACAGGCAGGTGAGAAAGGCTGTCTCTCGATGTAACTAGGATACACAAAGTTGTCTAGTCTTCCAACTGAATCTCTTACTAATTGAAGTTGGCAGGGCTGAGTTTGTTTTGTACTTACACAACTGCATGTCCATACAGGGCAGGAATCACAACTTTCTGATTCACCATTAAACACTTGGCATCTCGCATGGTGCCTGGTGCACCTCAGAAGTTCAATAGGTAGCTGGAAATTGACACAACCTAGGAGCAAAGGAATGCAAACTTTCATCTAGCCACACTGAAAGCCTTTCGTGTGAATATCAATAATCTCCAACTGGTGTTGTCCTTTCTACTGTTGCTCCTGTACAATCCACTCTCCACACAAGAGTTGGAATGGGATGACCTTTTTTTTTTTTTTTAAGATTTATTTATTTATTTGAAAGGCAGAGTTAGAAAGAGAGAGATCTTCCATCTGCTGGTTCACTCCCCAAATGGCCACAATGGCCAGAGCTGGGCCAATCCAAAACCTGGACCCAGGAGCTTCTTCTGGGTCTCCCACGTGGATGCAGAGGTCCAAGTATTTGGGCCATCCTCCACTGCCTCCCCGGATGCATGGGTAGGGAACTGGATTGGAAGATGAACAGCTGAGACTCGAACCAGTGCCCATATAGGATGCCCATATAGGCCACAAGCAGTGGCTTTACCCACTACACCACAGCACCAGCCACATAGAATGATCTTTTAAAAAATAATTCGGGTTCTAGAATTAGATCATGATGATGGTTGTAAACCTCTGTAAATATACTAAAAAGCATTGAATTGCACAATTGAAGTGGGTGAATTTTATGGTATGTAAATTCTATCTCAGTAAGGCGGTTAAGAAAATTAGGTTGTCATTCCTGCACTTCCTGCCATTTCATTTAGAATTTACCAGACTGCTTAGCGTAATCCGTAAAATCCTAACTTTCCTATGGTCTCTGTCGACCTCTCCAACCCCACTTCCCACCAGGCCGTCATTTACCTCCCACTGTTCACTGAATCTGCCTGGTTGGATCCTACCTTAAGGTTTTACAGTTGGTCCTAGCTGCTCTCCATAGTTCTGATCAAATGCTCTTATCAGGACTCAGCTCAAATGCCATGCCATCTTCTTCCTTTATCTCACATTATCTACCACCATACTTTGTACCATATTATTGTGCTTCTATAGCATTTCTCACTGTTTCAAAGTATCTCATTTGTTGTTTCCCTCACTCAAATATAAATTCTGTGAAGCAAAGAATCTTGTGTTTATTACCCTTAAGAAGAGTACCAGGGCCAGCACTGTAGTGCAGGAGATACAGCTGCTGTTTGCAGCACCAGCATCCCATTTGGGTGCCCATTCGAGTCCTGGCTACTCCACTTCTGACCCAGCTCCCTGTAATGTCCCTGGGAAAGCAGCAGAGGATGGCCTAACCCAGGTACTTGGGCCCCTGTACCCACGTGAGAGACCCTAACTCCTGGCTTCAGCCTGGCCCAGCCCTCGCTGTTGTGGCCATTTGGGAGTGAACCAGTAGATGGAAGATGCTCTCTCGCTCCCTCACGCGCGCGCTCTCTCACTCTCTCTCCCTCTTTGTAACTCTGACTTTCAAATAAATACATAGATCTTTTAAAAACTTTTTTTTCTGAAAAAAAAAAAAAAAGAGAGAACTGTACCTCATGCGGTGGCCATTGTGGTGCAGCAGGTTAAGCTGCTGCTTGGGAATCCTTCATTCCTTATGGAAAGGCCAATTTGAGTCTCAGCTCCTCTACATACAATCCAGCCTTTTGTGAATGCACCTCTGAGGTAATGGATGATGGCACAAGTATTTGAACTCCTGCAGTCCACGTGGAAGACCTGAATGGAGTTCCAAGCTCCTGGTTTCAGCCACACTTAGTGCTAACTATTGCAGGCA